AGATAAAAAGGGGAGCAGCAGAAAATGGCCCATATTAAAATAAATTTTAACAATAAAAAGATTATTGCTGTTGTCCATGGCTTCATGGTGGCGCATTGGTTAGCACGATCGTGTCACAGCAAGAAGGTCACTTGTTCGAGCCTCGGCTGGGTCAGTTGGCATTTCTGTGCATGTTCTCCCCATGTTCGCATGGATTTCTACAGGGTGCTCCGATTTCCCCCAGAATCCAAAGACATGTGTAGTGGACCCTTTAAGTGTGTGCATTGCGTGCTAATCACATCAATGCTTTATAGGAGCAGGTGCGCTCTCCGTCTGTGGTTGGCATTTTGTTTTGACCTGTTGATGGGTTTCTCTCCACTAGCCCCCCAGTGAGTAAAGCATTTTGGAAAGTTTAAATGAGTGTATTTTTCTTTTAAGAACAGTGGTGGCTGTCGAAACTTAACTTGATTGTGCGCGGCCGGTTTATGTGTATCATGTAGAGTTTATTCCAAAGGTAAGTTTTTTGTGTTAGAGTATATGTAGAGAAAAAAGGGTAAAAGAGTTGTAAGGAATGTCGTTGTTTTGCAGAGCCTGCTAGCTGCTGCTTTGTTGTAACTTGAGTGGCACCTGACCTTATTCGGACTTCGGACGTAATCGCCTCAGATTCCATATCATCGCTGGCCAATTCATGTGCGCTGCCTGTGTGATTCACACAGAGTTTAGTGTGTTGGTTACTTTCTTTGAGTGATGTGATTTTTGTATCATCATTGAGTGTCATTTCGTTTACTTTTTTTTCCTTTGTATGTGTTGCTGTTGTTGTTATTGTTGTTATGGGTTCAACCGTGAAGCGCTAAAACCCTATTGTTTTTGTTGGAATTTTTATTTATTTATTTATTTTTCGTCTGTCTCAATTGCTATTGCTCAGGCCAAACTATAAGGTCTAGAGGCTTCAAACCTGGCCAGATGGTAGCAGTCCCACATTGCTACTCAGATCCAAAGATTTGTCCAAATTGGACCATAGGTGACGCTACAGCGCTTAAAAAAAACATGTTTTTTAGTTTTGGGACGCCATTTGTAAACCGGTTGTCGTAGGTTCAAATAATTTACATATATGGAATCTTTGGGTTTTTGCAAAGTCATTTAGATTTTCTCTGCGATGCACCCTTTTTCCGCTACATCGCGATATGTCTGAAACCTATTTTTGCGAACTAGTCCTAGGTTTTTTTAAACCAATTGGAACTAAACCAGTGTAGAAATGTTCTCTGGACACTAAATATCAATAGTTATTGAAAACATTGAAATTTTCATTTTTTAAGCAAAACAGTACACAAAAAGTTCCATGCTAAGTGTAAGCTAAATGTTAATTGTAGCTATAACTTTTGAACTGATTGAGATATTATCACCGAACTTGGTACAGATGTATAAGGTCAATTTAAGGTCACAGTGCAAAACCCGCAGACTTTGGCCACATAGGGGCGCTATAAAGCTCAAAAATCACAAAAAAAAGATTTTAAACTTACAACCATTAGTCCAATCAGCTTGAATTTGGCATGTCTTTGACCAAGTTGTCATGACACTATAAAGATATTGGCATATCTAAAAAAAATAGCTGCCATTAGCTAATCAAGATTGAGCAGCCATTAAACAAGGTTAACAATGAGTGATTGGAACGAAACTCAGTGGGAATGTTCGACCTAGAGGTCCTAGAGGTTTGTAAGAATTTTAAAAGAAAACGACCACTAGGGGTGATTTTGAGTTTTTTGAGGTTTTAATTGATTGGTTATTTCAGTTTTGCACAGCCACACAAAATACAAATATAATATGATCTGCTCATACCGAACACTTTGACACAAACATAACTGCTGTCAGTCATACAGTTCATTAAATATCAATTAATATATGAAAAACCTACTTTTACAAACTAGTACCTGTTGTTTTGCTCAATCACCATAAAACCAGTGTTGTATAAATCTCTGGATCCACTGCTGTAACTCAAACCTTAGTTATTCACCATTATTCAAAAAACTACCTTTGGGAACTCGTCCCTGCTTTTTTGCTCAAATTTAACAAAACGAGTGATGTCTGGGCTGTCTAAATCAGTAATTATCAGTAGATGTACATTACAAATTTAAGCTACTAGATGACAGCACAAGACCTCATAATGTTGGTTCAGTGTCACTAAAATTCAAATTAAGATTATTCTGAATCACATTTTGACATGGTATAAACTCTGTTTTTTAGTCCCAGGTTGCTGCTTCATTCATTTACGCTTTATATTTTTCCATTTATTGCATTCCATCATGGATTTCTTTAGGGTCAGTCTTAACCCTCTACCGCATTATGCATTATGCACGCATTATGGTAAACCTGTAATATATATATATATATATATATATATATATATATATATATATATATATATATATATATATATATATATATATATGACTGTTTTTCTTTTCTTAAAATGGCTTAACTTGAAGTGCTGTAAAAAAAAGAAAAGAAAATATTTTTTAAGGTACTTTATGAAATGTTATCATATGGCAACAACGTCCAACAGTGGATCTTCCATGAGAATTTGTAAATGTAAAACTTTCCTTATAATTAATCTTTTTTTATATATATAATTTATTTGGTGTTGCAGCATTATAAGCTTTAACACAGAACTCATAAATGACACCTTATACATTCTTCACCACTTATATTCCATCAGTTTTCATTTATTATATTCTTTTTTGCTGAATATTATTAAAAATAATCATAATATTGTATTATCATACATACAATATAGAGTGAATATAAATATTTTCTCCAGTAAATATTATGACAAATAAATAACAAATCTAGGATATCCAGATGCATCAGAATAATGTGGCTACTAGCTAACAATGTTTATATATATATATATATATATAAATTATACTATACATACCTGCCTTATCTGCATCTGAGCTAACTTACCTGAACTGTCTCTATCAAATGTCCAGTCTGCATCCTTCTTATAGTCACTAAAACCCATCTCATCCTCACTTTCATCTGCAGGAAGAGCCAATTCTGTCCTTTTCTTTTTTAAATTACCATAGAACATGGTGATGCTCGCTAATACACTCCTCCCTGTATTTATATCTATTCAAAAGTAGCATTGCCATTAAAACTAGATTTTATCCATAATGCAAATGTCATTCACATATGAATAATCAACTTTATATTACTAGCATTTATGTTGTTATTGTTCCAACTTAAAAGTTTACAGCTGACCTTGCAAGCTAACCCATTGCAATATTGCATGTTCTACTATTGCACAATGTTGCCATTAGGTAACACACACATTTGATCGATTTACAAAAAACTAATTTGATTTAAAAAAAATTGAGTTGTGAATATGTCATCATATCTTACTGGAGGTGATGTTTCAGTTTTTTTTTTTTTGTGAATCTGACATAATTTGATCCTTTGTTTTTATTGACATTTACATTTGCATTTAAAAACTACTCATACTAAACGCCAGTCTGTCAGAAATTGTGCTACAGAAAAACGCTGGATGTCATGTGAATTAACCAAAACACATCATTGGTTACTTTAAGGTCTTCTCTTTCCAACAAAAAAAAAAAAAAAAAAAATAATAATAATAATAATAATATATATATATATATGTTGGTCTTAAAGAAACAGTGACAGGGAAATGAACATGAGTATCATGTTACCATATGGTTACGCCGTGCAGTAGAGGCTTAAATTTTGGGTCCTACATCTAAGCTGCTTAAATGTCAGTTAGGTTTCCAAATGCTCGACCCTGTCAATCACCGCTTGCGGCTATATTTAGTATTATTTTTATTATTTTGTGAAGTTAGTGTTGTTGTTATGATTGGGTGATGATGTGACATTACTTGCTTATTGGTATTGCCCAGTCCAGTCGGGTTTAGTGTGCATCTGATACTTTGAATTGTGTGGTTTGTGGTGTATACAATTTATCATATTTTGTTTGTTTTGGGTTTGTGATTTTGTTTCACTACGTTTATGGATCATACATAGTGGTTAATTTTTTGTGTATGCTAGAGTGAGACACATTGAATAACAACAAAAAATAACAACTGATAACTAATTTCTTTCTTTTTTGTTATTTTTTGTTGATTTGTGTGTGGGATTTTTATTTGTATAGTCTTCCTTGTATTTATATGGATATTGCTTTGATGTTTTTTTTCTTGTATTTTCTTTCTGTTGTATATTGTTCTAGAATAACCACCAACATTGCTAAATTTTCTGTAGTGTATGTGTGTGAATACATGTGCATGGATGTTTCCCAGTGATGGGTTGCAGCTGAAAGGGCTACTGCAGTGTAAAACATATGCTAAATCCATTAATTAATTAATTAATTAATTAATTAATTAATTCATTCATTCATTCATTCATTCATTCATTCATTCATTCATTCATTCATTAATTCATTCATTCATTAAATGATTAATCAAGGGACTAAGCCGAAAAGAAAATGAATGGATACAATCCAGTATAGCTCCCAGACATCCCTTTTAGACAGCTTCCTCTTGCTCCCACAATTAGTCCTGTTAAATGTGGTCCATCCTTCTTGGTGGTATGCTGATATTACCTTGGATAAAGTGGCTCTTGATACATTACAGAAACGTGCACTAACAGTTTGTCTTTTTTTGAACTCTGTTATGTCCAAAGTCAAGAGTCCAAAAGTCCAAAAACGAAAATAAAACTTTTAAAACCTTTAAAAAAATCAAAACCTTCCATGTGACTTCGGTGATTCAACTGTAATCATATAGCTCCAAGAACATGTTTGTGCATTAAAAAAAAAAAAAAAAAAAAAAACTGCAAAAACGACTTTGTTTGACAATGTTTTTTCTTTTTTCGTCAGGGTGCTCATTTTCTGTGCACTGTTACATTCACCATAAATAATGGCTAAAGTAGATTTGAAATTGAATTAACCACGATCATTAAAACAACAACAACAACAACAAAAACAACAACAACAAAGTTTTATATACTGTGGCATGAAACAGTTTTTAAAAGTAACTACTTTATTTAATCCACTCCATTACCTTCGGCTTAGTCCCTGCTTTAAATAGCTTTTGGAACCACTTAATGGTGAGTAAGAAGTGACAATATTTACATGTTGGGGTTAACTACCCCTTTAAAGAATAGTCCCAAAAGTCTCAATGTTTACTATGCAAAAATAATATATTATATTATATTATATTATATTATATTATATTATATTATATTATATTATATTATATTATATTATATTGTAACAAAGCACATGGCATTGTGTTGTTACAAGTATTTGAAAATATGTACTGCATTAGGGTTGGATAGCAAGTAAGGTACAAATTGAAAGTACATTTTAATAAGTCAGTAAAACTGAAATATACAGCGGTTTTAAATTTTTAAAAAAGCAAAGAACAACCAAACAAACAACTTCTATATAATAACATTAACCATACAAATAAGCTTAAATCTTAAAATCAAGGAACTTCAAATGCTTTGGATGAAGTTGCACACAAACCGTGTGAGATGCTCATATTCCACACGAGGCATATTAAAAGGTTTTCCCTGCCAGAAATTCTTTCAAAAACTTTAAAACACAAAAGCAGGTGCATACAAAAAACATAGTTATCCCTGTAAACTGTGTTGGCCAATACACTAAATATCGCTACATATCCATATCAGAGTTGACAATTTCATTGACAATATGAGCACAGCAAAAATAATTAAATTTTCAATAAATCATACAATTATCCCATCAAATTATCATAACATCAGTTAAGGCAAGAGTGAAAACAATAATAAAGCATGTAAACAATGCATACAAATATGAGTGGTCTTTGTTTTTAGCTGTGTGCAGTTTTGTTTTAGACGCATTAAGCCAGATTTGAACCTTCATCTCCAACAAAACTGGCGCAGAGATTTTTGCTCAGAAAGTAAAATAAAGATTCAAACACCTTAGAAGTTCTGCTGAAAATGCCGAACATGTTCTTTATAGCAAAATTGCATATCTAAACAGCGTACTGTAGCATATTAGTGCATTTTCCCTTCAGTAATTAGCAGTGAAGCTCTTTTTTACAAGCCCTTGAACATTAGACCAGGAGAAGCAGAAGTAGTTCTGTGTTCTGCCTCTAGATTTAGTGCAGGTTGTAAACGTTACAGAATGAGTGCTTTTTTTTCCATCTGGTAGGATATGAAATTAAGCTGCAGCTTCGGGATGTGCTACTTCAAAGGGACTCAGTGATGGTATGAGGCGGTGTTCCAGCGATACCACGATCTGAGGGAAAAGAACAGTTTTTTCATCAGTTTTACTAGTTCTTCAAAAGGCACAGTATACTTTAAAGAGCCCCTATAATGGGCTTTTTTAAAAATGCAATGTGTAACACAACTCTAAGTGAAGTGAAATATCCAGCTGAGGCTTAAATCTGAAAGTGCACCATGTTTCAAACTATTGATTCATCTATAAAAGAGTCGACTAGTGGTTCGAATGAATTGTCGCGGTAACGAGTCTTTAGCCATGCAGGCATGATGTGGATATGGAACTTAACGGGTCCCGATGTTGCTATCATTGGTGACTCCATCGTTCACCACGTCCGTGCTGCGTCCACTAAAAGTAACAACTTACGCACCTCACTACTCCCCTGGTGCTCGCTTTAAGAATATTTTTGCCCAGGTATTTACTATCCTGAGCACTGGCTAGAGCATCCGTGCTATCGTCCTTCACGTAGGGACGAACAACACTGGGCTGTGGCAGATGGAGATCCTGAAGAGGGACTTCAGGAGCCTGATCGAGACGGTTCATTGCACCTCACCCACCATGCAGATCATCGTTTCTGGCCCACTTCCTACCTACCTCCAAGAAAATGAAAGGTTCAGTAGACTTTTTACTCTGAATGAATGGCTATTAACATTGTGTAAAGAACAAAAAATACTCTTTGACAATAACTGTAATCTTTTCTGAGAGCGTCCTAGGCTTTTCCGTGCTGACGGGCTGGAGTAGAAAACTGGCTGAAACAAAATGACTATTTTAGTTTAAATGAAGCAACCCCTCCAGGATTCGTATATAAACATAAGGTTTGTCAAACTGGTCGTGGTTGTGGAGTTGCATCAATCTTTAATTATATTCTTAATGGTAATCAGAGAAATGGACTTATGTTATGCTCTATTATGAAAAATTAATAATGTTATCTCTCACTTTAATCACCATATATAGACCCCCAGGAAACTCAATTTTCTAAAAAAGTTTTCTGATTTTATTTCTGACTTTTTGAAACTGATAAAATACTAATTGCAGAAGACTTTAAATCCACATAGATGACAATAATGACACATTAGGGCTCGCGTTTATTGATTTACTACATTCACTTGGGATAAAGCAAAATGTTGGCCTTGTTGGTTTACCCATTGTTTAAATAATAAATTAGATCTAATTTTGTCTTATGGAAGCAGTGTGAACATAAACAGCATCTTTGAATGTAAAATGCTCAAAGTTCAATGCAAGGGGGGACCTTGGTTTTTTACAGATTTAGTTTAGCAAAGCCAAAAATTAACGAATTTTGTAGACTACAAAAAAATACTTCAAATATACTTCAAATATCTCAAAGATACTTTTACCACACACACACACTGCACAGCTAAGGGGTATGACCAGAGGCGCTGTAACATTACATCATAGAAAGAAAATGCCACCCTGCTATTTCCACAGAGCTACTCTGTTTCTGTATTTAGGCTTCCCAAGGACACAACACAGAGACAGATGTGCTTACAGTTTAATATTAATTATGTTCCAGAGAATTATAAAATACAAAGCAAGCATGATTTGACAAAACACAGCTTCCAGAATCTCTCCCAGTTCAGTGCTGGATTCAGTTAAAATCTCCTCAAAGAAGAAGTAGCTTCTATAAGCAGAAGCTGTGAATTCTGAGCCATGACCTGTAAGTGTTTTTATTTGTTAAAATTGATTATGACATGAACATTGTCTAGCCTTAATGGTATGTTGTAGCAAAGATGTAAACAACAGGAAATGCTGTTCTCTTTCATCATCTCGTGTTCGAGATCCACCTATGGGGGAAGGCATCCGTGCCTGACCTCTGCAGAAGCATCCAATTGCACCAAGTCTGGCTTGACAGACAGAAGCGCGTGCCCAATGGCAGGTAAAGAACCGCCCCTTTACCTGTGCGCATAAATCATTCTGCACGCGCTGCTATTCCTCAGTTAACATTCGCTTCTCGCTGACTCTGCAACTCTACAGCTCAGTTGGATTACTGCTGCTCATTTACGTTTCTTCAGGAGGACATATCTTTCGATCAGCCTCCACCAGACGTGACAGTCTGTTATCCGACCAGGTTAGTTGTGGTTTTCGCATCCCGAGCTGCCCACGCTCCTCTTACACCTGTCCCTGTCCACGGCTGCCCGCCTCGGATATGTCACTTTCTAAATCTGCCGCTTCTCCCGAGCACTCATCACGGGCCTGCCCGGCCGCGTGTGGCGCGCTTATTGCTGCAAAGGACCCACACCCCTTCTGTGTTGTCTGCTTGGGCCTCAAGCACGCTCAAGAGGCGTTGGAAACCCCGGAGAATTGCAGCCATTGTCTTAAATTACCGAAAAAGCTTCTGCGGCGTCGTATGAAAGTTGCAGCGACTCAATGTGTTGAATTTTCCGATTTGGATGGGGGACATGGTGATGACAGCGCGCAGCCGGGGGACTCCCGGGGCGCTATGTCTCTCGACTGGGCTGACCAGCCCAATCCTGCGTTCCCCGAAGAGGACATCTTCGCGGGTGTTCCGCCGTTCGCTGATGAACCGGCCGGTTCTGGCGACGATGACGACGCGGGTCTTCTGGGTGTTTCAGAGGACGAGGAGGCCATCCCGCCCTCTGGCGCTCCCCAGATTCACACTCCCGCGACCGTACCCCAGTCCATCCTCCTAGATGTGTGTGAGCGAGCGGCCGCTCGCCTCAACATCGAATGGCCAGCTCCACAGAGTGCCACCGACCAGGAGAGGGACATTTATGATGGGAAGTTGCTGGGGCCTCCACCAGGCCCGAGGAAACAACTTTTTCCCGTCCTCCCAGCGTGTGCGAAGCACATGAAGCACTACTGGGGCGACCCGCTCAACCTTAGACAAGGTCTCGCGGGTCTGGAGGTAAAGGATATGGCATCGATCGGCATGGGTGACCCACCCGTTATCGAGCCATCAATCGCTCGACACCTCAGCCCCATTCAGGGCGGGCTACTCGCCCCCCCGAAACCGGTCCTGCCAAACAAAATGGACCGCTTTTCTGCCTCTGTTCACCAGGCCGCCTATAGGTCCTCAGCCGTAACTGTGAGGGCTCTTAATGTCTCCTCGCTCCTCTCCGCTTACCAGGCGGAGCTGTTGGATGACTTGGGACAGCAACTGGACAAGGGAACCCCTTCCCCATCACTGTGGAAGGAGATTCTCACAGTTAACGACCTCGTTCTCCGTAACGCACGTCAGGCCGTCCAAGCCTGCAGGCGTTCCATGGCGCTTTCGGTGGTAGGAGAGCGCGCGCTCTGGTTGAATCTGTCGGGCCTCCCTGACAGTGAAAAGAGGCGGATTGCGGGCGCCCCGGTAGAGCCCGGACAGGCTCTCTTTGGCCCCGCTGTTGCATTAATGCAACAATGCTGCTACGACAAAAAGAAGGAGGATGAAGCCTTCAAATTATGTCTTCCTAGGAAAGCGGCTCCACGCCAGGTGCCCCCAGCGCGCGCCCCTATTCCCCCTGCCACAGGGCGGAATTTCCATCAGGGCAAGGATAAACCTCGCACCAGACCCCCTCCGCGACAGGGCAACCATCCTTCCGCAAAACCTTGGGGAAGAACAACGCCCGCCGGGAAAACCCCCTGCCCAAACCCCCTCGGATCCGAAACGCAAGCGGCCGGCCTGATGTTCAGCCAATGGGGGCGCCGAGTCTGTGTTCACGGGCCACAAGCCCTACAGACTATTTTCCTGCCCCAGAGCTTCTGTCCAAAAGTCGGAGAATAGCTCAAAAGGAGGTCGTCCACCCCATGTGTTCAGTGGACGTTGTGTGTTCTCGCCCCAGGTTCAAGGGGTCTGTTGTGAGGAAAAGTGTTCAAGCAGTGTCACCACACCATTCAAACTTTGTTCCCCTCACTCAAATAAAGGCTTCGGCCCATGTGTTCCCAAACACAAAACACACAAAATACACCTCAAAACAAACGAATCAAATGAATTCGTTCCCAAAAGAACACATTTCTGTGAACCCCTGCATGTCACCCCTAGTTTGTCCACTAGAGGGCGCCATTGCACCAGAAATGAGCAAACCGACCGAATTTGCAGTAAGCAGTTCTCCGGTGTGTGTGGGGTCACTTGCGAATCAGGTAACAGCCTGGCAGTCTGTGTCAGCACCCGAATGGGTAATTCACACAATAACCAGGGGATACAGGCTTCAGTTTGCCAAAAGACCCCCGCGTTTCAACGGAGTTCTCTCTTCTCAAACAGAAGAGAGCTCTGCTCACATTCTGAAAGACGAAATCTCCTCTCTCCTGCAGAAGGGGGCGGTTCGAGTGGTACCCCCGCACCTGACCGGGCAGGGGTTTTACTCTCGTTATTTCCTAGTTCCAAAGAAAGACGGCTCTCTTCGTCCTATTTTGGATCTCAGAGTGTTGAACAAACATTTGAGGAAATACAGCTTCAGAATGTTAACACACGGTTCTCTCTTACGCTCAGTAAATCAGAACGATTGGTTCACATCGATCGATCTGAAAGATGCTTTCTTCCACATAAGCATCTATCCTCCGCACATGAAATTTCTCCGTTTCGCTTACCAGGGCGTTTGCTACGAGTTCACAGTTCTTCCGTTCGGGCTCTCACTAAGCCCGAGGACGTTCTGTCTGTGTGCGGAGGCAGGGCTTGCGCCGCTGAGAACAGCTGGTCTCAAGATCCTGACATACATAGACGATTGGCTGATCATAGCCGATTCGCGAGAGAAAGTAATTCAAAATACTTTCCGTGTGCTCACTCACATCAAAGCACTCGGTTTCCGGGTGAATGTGAGCAAAAGCAGTTTCACTCCATCCCAAAATGTGACTTTTCTGGGACTGGAGCTGAATTCAATTACGATGCGCGCGCGCCTGTCGCAAGAGCGCATTCTCTCTCTTCTGAATTGTCTCTCACAATTCAGGGAAGGAGCAAGGGTACAGTATCGTACATGTCTCAGACTACAAGGTCTCATGGCCTCAGCTATTCATGTCCTGCCACTAGGCCTTTTGAGAATGAAGTGGGTTTTATCTCTTCA